CCTAACCCTAACCCTAACCCTAACCCTAACCCTAACCCTAACCCTAACCCTAAGAGGTATTTATTAAGAAAAGAATATAGCCCTTAATAATATAGGCCTATAAAAAGAAAAATACTATAAGTAAAGATATTATAAGCTAGATAGATAGAGTATATATAAAGAGGGTAGTTTCTTACTCTTAGAAGAGATAGAGTATTATATCTCTATAATTATAACCGATAATAGATATTATTTTTACCTTATTTAAGTTACTTTAATTATAATACTTTATACTATAATAGATAGCCTTACTTTACGAACTTAATTTATATATAGATTTATAATATATATAAATATAAGAGTTTTAAAGACTTTATTTATTTAATTACGATAAGAGCTTTTATATAAACTACTTTAGACTATTAAAAGTACTTTAGTTATAGAGATCTTATTAAGTATTATAAGTTACCCCTTTTCTACCCTTTATTATCTTTTTTTTTACTTCTAGGAGATAGCGTTACGTTTTCTAGGCTAAGACTAGAGTATATTATATAATTAGATCTTATTTCGCTATTTAATGCTTTTCTTCCCTTAACTAAGTATATAAGGTTACTTAATAAGCAGGTAGTCATCCTAGCTAGCTTTAGTACCTTTACCTAGCTATAATAACTTAGCGCTAACGAAGTAATTAACTACCGCTCTATATCGTTATAGTTACTTAGCTCTTTTAACGTTATACTTAATATTATTAATATAGATATAAATACGCTATATTAAATGCTCTCGCTTAATAATCGGATAGTTAAGCTAGGATTCGATTCCGAGCGTCCTTTATAGTCGATGCTCTATATGCTTAATATATAGTACCTGGGCAGTCGATACATACGGGCCTTCTCGAATAATCTATCGTTATCTAAATTATCCTAGCTGTCTGCGCTCATTAAAGACAGCGTGATCAAGCCGTTTATAGATAGAGTTTAGGATATAGAGTAGGTAGTTAACGCTATTAAGGCTATTAAACGTAGCGGTGTCCATAGGAAATACGTTTTATAATTAGCCTAAGGTTAAGTCTATAGAGCATCTCTTTCTAGGTAGAAGAGTTCTTTTAGAAACGCCATTATTAAAGTCGAAGTATATATAGTAAAAGGCATAATGAGTTTCGCATTATAAATACTTCTAGTTTTAGTAGGCCTGGCATTTAAGGGGTTCGCCGTTACTAGCTTCCAGGTCCATAAAGCTAAAAGTAGCAGAGAAGGTAGTGCGACGCGGGAACGGCGGTCCCGTTACGAGAAACACGCCGGCCCGCTAACCCTCGCCTAGAAGCCAGGACTAGCTCGACAGTAAAGACTCGCCAAACAGCTAAGATTCGCCTAACATCTAAGGTTCACTAGGAAGCCAAGATTCGCCCGACAGCTAAGGTTTACTAGAAAGCCAAGTCTCGCCCCAGGTTAAATATTCATCAGACAGCCAAGACTCGCCTGATATCGAAGATCCACCGGACAGCCAAAGTTCCTCTGTCGGGTAGCCCTGCGTACCCCTGGCCACTTATCCCTCCGCAGCCTCCTGCGCAGCCTCGTCCGCGCCCGTGTAATCCACTCTTAGTAGGTTCAGCGCATTTCGGAGCCGCTCTCGCTTCAACAAACTTATGCCGGTAGGCTTTAAGCCCAGTAGATTAAGTGCCATATTCAGCGAGGCATCCGCCAGCGTCTAAGAGCGAGAAAGCGCTTCTCTTTATATATGCCTTATCTATATAGCTTATAATATCTTTGCCCGCCGCGGTTTTCCTCCTTTAGGCCCTTACTGTAGGGGTAGCGCTCTTTCCCCAATAAACCAGCAGCCCGCGATGCCTTCAGTCGCCCGCTGTAGCCCGTGCAGCCCGCAGCCGGGCGCTACGTGCGTAGACCGCTGGAAACGCACTGTAGCCCTCCGGCAGACCTATTTTTATTAATTGTAACAGTGGCTCTTAGTGGTCGTAAGGGCCTTAGTAGCAGAGATGTGTGAAAATAGAGAAATGCGTTAACGTGCGTTATCAGCGAGTGGACCATATCAGCGAGTGGACCACTTTTCACCACAACGCGGCATTCCACACTTAAACGTTGAATTTCTCCACAACGCGTCATGGTCTCGCATTCGAACGAAAATCGGATTCTTCTTGCTATAGCTGCTCTTGAAAGAGACCCAAAGTTAACCGTTCGAGCCGCGGCAAA